TCGAGATGGAGTCGATGTATGTTGTAATGCTATCTAGAGCTTTTTTTTATAGCAAAAGGGCTAATTTGGGAAATTGTTATTCTAGCATCGGTTGAAGAAATAACAATATATTTTTTATCAATAGGACTTATGTCACTGATTGGCAACACCGGAAAATTGGAATTTTTACTTTTTTTTCTTTAGGGGGATGTGTCACCTAATAGATGAAATCTATTCGGGTTTTTATCTAGCGGCCCAGGGGCCATTATGCCTTATTGTTGTCTATTGTTTGTTATTGGTGAAATAACCACTCACTTGAAAAGGTTTGGGAAACTACTGAATAAAAAATGTCAGATGTTTTTTTTTTTTTAATGTTTTTAAAGGAAAACACGTATGGTATTCGCAATGAACAGTTTTCGTAATAAACACACAAAAAATTCAATAAATTTTAATAAGTTTGAAAACTTTTAAAAACGTATAACGCAATAAATTGCAAAAATTTTTTCACAGAGAGAAAAATTTGACCACAGCGCTTGAACAGAGTTGCCGTTTTTGCAATCGTGACTAAAAATTACAACAATTTATTATTTGGACATATAAGCCACAAATCTATTGGCTTAGTCCATCTCTGTTCAACATACCAAAAAAAAAAAAAAAAGATACGTTATATGACGTTTGTGCTAGCGCTTTTTTCAATTCTCGAACCTCTTCATCGTAGCTGTCCAAGTCTAGTGAATACAGTGGCTGAGGCAAGATTACGATGTTATTTTTGAACAAAAACCAATGAATAAACAATGGCATGTGAGTTGGCGCATTTGCATCGTACAACGTCCATGCTCAAAACATCCGAAAAAATTACATGAGGTCACAGATATGTCGATATCCTCAGCGACTGCTCCAACTGTGACTCGACGATTCTTCATAATAATTGTCTTCACTGCTTCGATGTTTTCGTCGGTTATTGGCGTTCTGGTGCGTTTAGGCCTCGTCATTAACATCGTCTCGGTTTTCGGTGAGAAAATTTTGTACCATTTATAAACATTTCTCTTGCTCTAGCAAAAGATCGCCAAGTACACGGCTGATCATATCAAGATATGTCGCGGACATGTGCACCAAAATAAAAAAAAAAGAAAGTAACTCCTCGCAATCCAAGAAACATTTTTAATTAGTCGTAGGGTTTTAAACTGATAACTCTGTAGTATTTATACGTTAGAAATTTTTTCGGCTAAAAATCACGTTAGGTGTCGTTGCTAAAGACATAAATAAACAAGTTTGAATGCAAGCTTTAATGGTCGAGTCTTCTATGGTTTCAAAATAGTGTTACCTATCGATGTTGGCTTGGTTACAGGTAGATAAAAATATTAATAAGCATATAAGTTAAACCTTTTTTCAAATCGGATCTATAAGCCGAGGCAGCAATCTTTAAACAGACAGAACAGTCACGTGGTTCATTGATGCGTTAAAATATGAAACAAGATATCGCCTCCTGCATTTGAGTTAGACTTATCTGCCCTTTAATATTTATTTATGACGCGCACATGCGCTTTACTTTTCGAATTTACGTTCCATTCTACCCCGTGCTATATTAGTAAACGAAAGGAAAGCAAACATATTTACGGTCTATAGGCCTACTGGCTTTCCGGCATGAAGGTATTGAAAGTCGTCTGCTAAGGAGGTCGGAGTTTTAATACAAATCAATGATGTTATTGAGGAGACCAGAGAAACAGAATTCCTGCAGGAGAGTAAAGGAAAGTGCCTTTTGTATGAAGACCACGAATGAAAAATGTCTCTTAGCCAATGAGAAGTGTCTCTAAAACAACGGAAGGAGTCTCTACTTCAAAGAAAGGTGCCCCCAAATCAATGAAAAGTGCGTCTAAGTCGTCGACTAAAAAAAAAATTTTTTTTTTAATAAATTCGTTTAAAGATGCATGCTCACCAAGAAAGCATTTCAAAGCCAAGTGTGTTGTTTTCAAGCTTTTCGCTTAGGTGTAACAAGGTTTAGACGTACTGAACTTTCTCTACACTTCCGTACTTGCAGTCATTTTATTAAAGCAACTCGACACTCAATGGTACGGAGTTGTATTCGACATACTTTATATCGTGTGGTACTAAAGAACTGCCGATAGCGCTACGCCAACCCTGTACTGTAGGTCCAGGAGTATTTAACTCACTAGCCGGAAAATTGGAATTTTCATCTGAAAAAGAAAATTTATTTTTATTATTATTTAGCCCGAAGCATAACATTTTTTGATTGTAGCAATATAACGAATATTAACTTTAATTCTAAATTCAATAAAAAAAAGGCAAGTTTAGAAAAAACCCTTCCCTTCTTCACATAAACAAAAGGCCCATATAAGAGCTGTATGTCAATATGAGATTTTTTACTTTTTCTGTATAACTTCGTGCCATTTTTATTTAAAAATGATTTAATGTAAATAACCGCCTTTGGATTTTTGTAAAAATTTGATACGGAAATACCAATCTTTAGCCTTTCCATACAATTCTGCATTTAGTTAATCAACAAGGCGAATAATGTTAATTTTAAGTTCATTGAGGCGGGTGACCCTAAAGAAAAAGTGTAGTCAAGTTATAACGTTTGATCAATTCATTTACGAAATATAGGCCTTGAAGTTGAACTTTGCTCTCAATAGATTTGATTGCATCACCAGATCGTCTTGTTGGAACTGAATATCGTCCAAGTCGAAATCATCTAATTCAGCGTAAAACTGAAACAGTAATCATGCTTTTAAAGCGTACTCCATTGGCGTAATGGCATTTTTTTACGCTACCATTTGATCCGAATTCGTGATTTACATGAAGCATAGTGAGTTGTGCGGGTCGATCACGTTCATCACAAATTCTACGTAATGCGCGAAATACGTTAAACAATTGTGTATTTTTTTATGACACAAACATCAATTTTGATGAGAATCGAAAAAAATAAACGACGTAACTTTTAAAAAATGTATATCCGGATTGTAGAAAAATGCGTTACAGGTGCAATTCATACATGTTGTGATATATCACAATTAATTTAATTTTCGTTTAATATATTGTCTTCAAATAAAGACCGAAAATAAGATAGCGGGCTTGGCGTCAACAGTTTTATCGTCGCCTAAAGGTTTCTCATTCGTGGAAAGCTAAGAATCGTAAACGTACTACTATGGAAGAAAATGAAAGAATACCTAGAAGCTTCATTCAAGCATTCTTCGATGCTTTTCACCAAATAACAACCCTCTTCATCAACAATACCCACTAAAAAATTTTCGAGCACTCTCCGTGATAGCTAATAGACACAAACAGTTTTCAACTATTTTCCTACATCTCCTGTAGTATATTCAGATCATGAAATCGCAAAGGAGAAGAGCCATGTATTTCAAAAGCAAGCAACAAATTTCAAATCTAGTGGAGAATACAGCAAGCAATACCTCCAATAACTTGGAACATATTAAAATATATATAGCTGGCGTGGCAAATAATAGAATTTTAAATTCGACATCGATATTTTCGCGTTTAGGTGGTAAAACGGAAAAGTCATTGATTGAAGGAATGCAAAATCTGTTTTCGGTAGACAAAGCTATACGAGATAAATTTTTCTTCTTCTCTCTTTCCAATATTAATAAATGAATGAATGGCCACTATAATGTAGTTTTCTATAATTTTTTTCCCCTGCACGAAAAGAAAAGCTGGATTCGTTGCAGCGAGCCTCAATTGTGCATACCTATCCCACGTTTAGATCACCCGTTAACTTGCAAAAATATATGTGTATATCTGTAGCCGTATACTGTACCTACAATACTTTGATATGTTTTATAAGAATATTTATATATTTTTTTTAAATTCCATCAATAAAATAAATAAATAAATATGCATACATTCATATAACTGAGTTTTTAGTAAAAGACTCCATGCAGTAGGATGAAACACGTGCCATAGAACATAAACAAAATGAAAATGTTGCGGGGAGAATTTTTCTGAGGTGTTATTTCCCGCGAAAATCCAGCAACTTTTGTTTAGATTTATTAAAATTCCACCAGCCTTTGTTTAGCTTTATCAACATTCCACGAGCTTTTGTTTAGATTTATGAACATTCTATCAACAGTCTTAAACACTTCTAAACACTTTAAAATTAATCAAAGCTAAACATCAAAACCTATATAAACCTTCGTAAACAGTTTTAAACAGTCTTAAACGTCAAGCATTATGAAAACCAGTAAAAGTATTTTTTCAAATGAAATTTTTGCGTTTAAGTTAGTATTGTGTTTACAATGGCTTCCAAAGCATCGCCTTTGGCTCAAACTAAACAAGAAATCACTATTGCCAAACATTGTTATTGTATCGGCAGTAATGGCTTCCGAATTTCTAAAGGAGAAACTTAATTTGTTGGGCAAATTAGGCTGTGTACTTTGCATACTTGGCTCTACCATAATTGTCATACATTCACCCAAAGAAAAAGAAATAGAGGATTTAACAATTTTATTTGAAAAACTGCAAGATCCTGGTTTCATATTTTATATGGTATGTATATTTGGTTCAACACTTTTTGTGGCTTGTTTCGTGGCCCCAAGACACGGCAACAACAATGTTGTAGTTTATATTTATTTATGCTCAGGCATTGGCTCATTGACTGTTATGTCATGTAAGGCTTTGGGCAAATAGCTAGGGAGAAAAGGAAAGGAATAAGTATTTGCCTTTTCGGTAAGGCCCAATGCAAAGTATATGAGATATTTAAGATTCATGCGGTCCCAATATGTCTCAAAAGAATACACAATTCCTGGGCTCGGCCCAAAGCAAATACAGCTATGGCTTGCAATAGAATTTGTTCCAGGCGAAAACATCTTTTAATGGCCCGCACTTTAACGCTGGCTATCATTTCCGACAGGGCTTGTTGGATATGCAATATATTAGCACATATTTCTTTACCTTTTGAAGAATCTGCTACTTCAGTGGCACGACGGCAGATATCTAAAGTACGTCGGGCGTCTCCTGAGACGGCAGCTACTTTTCTATGTTAAAAAAAAAGAAAGAAAATAAAAATGATTTAATATCCTATTTTGGAGTACAAGAGTCTTTTGACAGCTATTATATGTGGAGATAAGATTAAAAAAAAAAAAAAAAGAGATATAAAAGGCAATACAAAAAAGGACTAGCCGACTATGTGAGAATCGCGACTACCAAGCCAATTTTCGCGAATTCAAATCTGTGTGGTGGAGTTCACCGTGGTCGTAGATGTAGTGAATGTTCAGTCGGTAAGAGTATAACACTTGGGAGGTATGGAAATTCGATTGAAAATTGTATGAATTCAAAAGGAGGTATGGAAATTCGATTGAAAAGTATACGATTACCCCGCCTGTGGCCACGGCCACTCTATTTCCACGCCTTCTTTCACTTCAAAAGATCGTTACTGTATTGCGTGAATAGAGGACATCTCGTTTCACATTCAAAACAAAAAAAAATTTTTCTGTCAACTCACCTCGCTACCAGTTGTATGGCATCGCCCTTGAAAGCCTCTGACCCACCTAATCGCCCCGTAACAATTTCTTGCGATTGCTTGTGGCTGTAGGGTTGAAAAGTGAGCCGTGTCAAACCCAATATAGAAATTACTTTACCTGTTAGTACGCGTTCAGGCAAGTCCACTGTATTGGCTATTTATTATCTTTAATTTCTTTATTATCATCTTCATCCGTAGACTTTATGTCTTTCTTTTTCTTTATAAGTTTCATCTGAAGTACTTTGACTAAAATTATCTTCTAGCCCATTCGAACTGTAAATTCACATAAATAAACATGTAAAATGTCTTTATATATCTTACTTGAATCAGTACCTTTTTGTGCCCTCATCATAATCCAATCTTAAAATAACATCTGACTGAGCGTGTTCGTAACGGCCGGGGGACCAACATCTTTCTCACAACATTTTTTAAATTCCTTGCTTGATTCAAATATATTTCGTGTAACTTTTGCGCCTCTAAGAGGAAAACGTAAATATTTTTTAATAAATTTGCACGCTTGATACACAACCTTTGTGGCATCAGAGTTTCTTCTTCTAAAGATTGCGTCGAAGGTAAATTTACTTTAAATTTAATTTAAATTTTCAACGAAATAATATTCTAATATATATATTTGGCTGAAACTTTGAAATTATTTTTTTAATTACCCTTCGTACTACAAAAATCTTTAGTCAAACTGGGCCATGCCAATAGTTCACTTAATAAGTCATCTACATAAGGATATTTACAACAAGAACCAACGCCATCAAAATAATTGCACATACAACACAACATATTGGAGACCAATGAATCGTCCTAATGCAAAAGAATATTAGAGAAGCAGC